ACATAGTTTGTTTTACATGTCAGTAATCTGAAAAATACCTAATATGCAAGTCTATTTTTCTGTTACAAGGGAACTTATCTGCTTGATCATGATTATGCATTTTCAAAATTAGTTAATTGCATTTTACAAATGACTCATTAACACACAACCCCAAACAGTAAGATGTTGCTATGTTTCATCACAAGCTATGATTTTAACTGTGTATTACAAAGATCAAATCTGGAAGACTTTAGGTTTTAAAGAAATTTACATGTACATGTATTATACAACAGAATTTCCAGTGTTGAGTACCGTCAGTGCCGTGTCAACCATGTACTCTGTAAATGGCTGTTTAAGGTAGTGATGGTCCTCAGCAGCTGTCTGGACATCAGCCTTTGGGTGCAGATATCTCAGAGCGATATTATGATATGACTTTGAGCAGTAGTTTGTCATCATGTTGCGCACATGATGATTGTAGCCACTCATCTGTCTGTATTTGTGTGGCCTTGGATCTTCCAGCATAAGCTGAGACCATTTTCTTTTAGACGGCAGTTCTGCAGCTGTTACAGTGATCCTGAATACAATATTTTGATACTACATTGGCATAATAATCCTGTTCAAAACAACACTTATACAAATATTTGAAAACTATTATCTCCCATAGACCACTACATTGAGTGTACATAAAGATGTAACATATTTTCCCCTTTGGAATAAAAGGCTTACTTACACATTGAACTAAAACAGCACAAACTTTTAAACGGCCTACAATCCTCTAGAGACATGCAAGTATAACTTTTAATGAAAATTTTCTTAACTACATAACTGTACTGGCAGTGTATTTCTAGGAAGTTTCTTAAACTGGTGTTTAGAGTCCATAATAGATTCTACTCTAGAAATACCGTACTCTAAAATACCTCTCCCTCAATGACACCTTCAGCTGAACTGTAACACATGTTGAAAGATATCTCGAAACTGCAACTAACTTGAAACTGATCACTTAAAGTTCAATTCAACATAAACAAGTTAACACACAATACCTTTCATGGGAACAGTTCCTATCAGATCATGAATTTCTTTCTCTTGTCGGCCGTCTTGGTTCCTGATTTGGTGTTTTATCACTGTCAATGTCTGGAGCTTCAGCCTGATGATTTACTGCAACTCTGGTGCCTGAGCTCGTGACTTTACACTTGACAGACGTGATGCATTCCACACCTGACTTCCCTGTTCAGTGATGAATGTGCAGGTCCTTTCTGCCAAGTTATTACTGTAGGACCTGAATATCTGTTTTCCCCTTTTGGAACATGACCAGGTCTCTTTATTCTTACTTCATCACCAAATGAGAAATGTGGAGTTTTTGCGCCTCGCAAGTTTTCTGCTCGCTTCTTGTACTCCAGCTGCTTTTCTCCTCTGAAAACTAAGCTGTTGCACCATGAAAGTTCATCTCAGACTTGAAAGAATGGTTTCATTTGTTCATCAAGTTTGTCTTTTCTGGGCCACTCAGACTGCAGAAATTGGGATATCTGAATCAGAACTGGCTCTTGACTTGTTGCTTGCTTTAATTCACTTGCTGTGATTGAAGGAACTCCATCGGACATAATCATGTTGATTATATCCTCCTCAACCGGATATTCAGTAATTTCTTCATGCACTGGAAGACGTGACACGGCGTCTGCAACATAGTTTTTTTTGCCTGGCCGATAGGCGATTGTGTAGTCATAGTTCAGAAGTCGTGCATTCCATCTTGCAATGTGCATATGCTGATGTCTTGTCCCTGTAAGTCAGGAGTGTAGTTAGTGCTTGATGATCTGTGATCAACTGGAACTTTCGTCCCCACAGGTAAGTGTGCCACTTTTCACATGCCCATACACAGGCTAAAGTTTCTTTCTCTCCCACTGAGTATTTCCTCTCAGCTTCTGATAGGGTACGTGATGCAAATGCATCTGTTCTTTCACCAGTGCTATCTTTCTGTGAAAGAACGGCCCCCAGACCATATCCCGAGGTATCTGTTGTAACAAATGTATCCACGTCTGGATCAAAGCGACCTAAGTCAGTACTGGACTGGATAAATGCCTTCACTTTCTCAAAACTAGCTTGAGCTTCTGGAGACCACACAAACTTAGCATCCCCTCCTCATCGGTTCAACTTGAGTGGAAAAGGATGGAACAAACTTGGAGTAATATGATGCCAGGCCAAGGAATGATCTTTGGGTTGTAGCATCGGTGCGTGGCGGAGCATCTGTGAAAGCCTTCACATGCGATTGGTATGGTTCTACACCTGAAGCGCTGATCACATGACCAAGAACTTTGATTCTCGGAATTCACACTTGTCATTGAGTTTCAGACCGGACTCCTTGAGACGTTCAAGAACTTTGAAAAGATGTTCATCATGCTCTTTCTCAGACTTGCCGTGAATAATCATATCATCCATATGACATTCGACACCTTTCAGTTCCTTGAGAATAATCAACATCATTTTCTGGAATGCTGATGGTGCAGATGCAAGGCCAAAGCATACTCGTTTGAAGCGATAAAGTCCGTCATGAGTGATGAATGTTGTCAAATCTCTACTTTCTTCTGCCAGTTCCACTTGATGGTAAGCAGATTTGATATCCAACTTTGAGAATACTGTTGAACCATGCATCTTTTGAAATACCTCTTCTGTGTGAGCGAGTGGGAATTTGTCCACAACAATAGCCTCATTTGGCTTTCTCAAGTCAACACATACCCTTGGCTCTCCCGATTTTTTCCATGCAACATGAAATGGAGAAACCCATTCCGAAGCATCAACTTTTTCAATAACTCCTTCTTCTTACATACGAGATAATTCTTTGGATACTTTCTCTCTCACTGCAAGCGGAAGGTGGCGTAACTTCTGTTGTATTGGTTTACAATCGGCCTTCATTTTCACTTTGTGTACGAATCCCTTGGCCAGACCTCTACCTTCAAACAGTGACTTGTACTCTTGAATAATGTCAGTACCCTGCTTATTGCCCAGGACAACAGAATCCACTTCGTTGCATTTCAGCTCTCTGCCAACAATAGAATGGTCAAGAGAATGTATCAGGTCAAGCCCTAGAATGCAACTTCCTTTTGCCACAATGTAAAAAGTCCCTTTAGTACGACTGTCCTTGTACTCAACCGTAGCTTTGAAGCAGCCTTTCACGTCGATGGGTTTGTGGGAATAGTCAGTCAGGTTGATCTTCGATGTCTGCCTCTTTAAGGAAATGCTTAGAATACATCTCTTCTGACAGAATAGATACTGCTGAGCCTGTATCTATGAGCAGCTTGACTGGCACACCACTGATTGCGACATCTGCAAAGGTTCCTTTTGTGCTTTTGACACTGTTCACTGTTAGAACCTGAACTTCTTCTAGTTCATAATATTATCCGCCTACAACATTGACTGAAAAGTTTCCAGCTTTCTTGCAAACTTTAGAAAAGTGTCCAATTTTACCACAATTCTTACACTTTTCTTTCCTTGCAAGACATTTGGAATCATGAATGTTTAGTTGAACCACATCGGAAACAGCGCTGCTGGCAAGAGGGGACTTTATCGTTATCATGGTGACCTTGAACCTTTTTTACCACACCTTTTGGTGACTTGCCCTGTTTATCTACAGGCCCGAATCCATGTTTCTTGACGTATCTGAAAGAAACATTCCTCGGCTGACTCAACGTACTGGTCCCCTGAAGAGTGCCCTCCAAGACATAACAAATATATCGATAGTTGATTTTGTCAGTCACAGTAGGCCTGACAGTGACAGAGATGGCGCTTATTTGACAGGCAAGAAAAGGGCCTAGCAGAAATTGCGGTGCATATCGCAGATTATCAATGTAAGAATACTTGATACATAAAAAATGGGTTACATACCTCTCGATCAGTTCAAGTTTCCTTCCAGCTGTCGAAGCTTTTCGTTGAAAGAGCGCACATTTGAGTTTGAGTTTTGGCACGGACCATTGCAGGTACTGGCTGGCCATGTTTACATGAACTTGGCTACGGCTCTACTTGAAATTCGCGCTTATTGATTCGCAGCGCATTCTAATCGCGGAACCGTCACAGAGTATGACCACTAGTACACGCACGTGCCTGGTGGATTAGTACGGCGGTACTCCTCATTGTCTGGTCCAGACTCGATTATTTACAGACCGCCGTCATATATATAGCTGGAATATTGCTGAGTGCAGGCAGGTGATATGGACTTAAAATCGTGCAACGAAATCGAAATCCGGTTCGTAAACTGTCATGCAGATTTCGGTCGATTGCAGGATTTGCAAAGCAACTCGTTGTCAACAGGTATGTTTTTAATAAAGGTGCTCACGTGATTTCATGCACTTCGCGACGTAAACCTCGTTTTATCACAATTTAGATCTTGATTATCGATCAGATTGTCTTGACTGGGGGCCGCCATTTTGTTTGAAGCAAATGCAAGTGATACGAGAGGTGGAATCTGATTGGTCCATAGGAGAGGCATAGAAGGGACCTAAATCGTAACAGCCACTAGTGGCGCTACGATCTAGCCCAGGAATTCCAAAATACCAGTCTAGTTCGGCAAGGTTGGAAACTGGACTTTTATAGTCAGTTAACTCTCTTGCCTCGGGAAGATGCCTGATGATCCTAACCCGGACCTTATGGGTGGTGTGGCTGCTTGTACTAGTCTGCACTAATGTCGAGTTTATAGTTCTAGCCCACAGAGAAATTAGATGTTGCGATTTATGAGGATCCACTTCCACAAAGCGACCTTTGCACTTTGACTTTTGTAAACATAATACATCAACACCAGAGTATAATCCGCCGATTCCATTCGGCGTAAACGCCGAAATAGCGGCGGAACTTGGCTGAATATTCACTGAAAATCAGTGATGACACCAGGTGAAAGCCATGTGTAAACCGTAACTAAAGTATGGGAGTTATAACAGTCTTTGTGCTAAGATCGCTTTGTGCATATCGATCCTGTTCGATGATGCGTCAGTCGATGTAATCACAGGCACGAGATCTCATATGACGCTGTCTATCTTCAGGATGTCGATTAAACGTCTGGCTGATGAAGCTGGGGACACCTTGACATTGTTGGATGTAGATGGTTTCCTCTTCGCCCCCGACCTGACTGAAGACGTCATCAAAGGCCTCAAAAAGTTTCCTTTCCGGGATGATGACGTCATGGTGTGTTCGTATCCCAAATCAGGTCAGTTAGTGACTTAACGTTATTGTGTTTATAATGTCACATTAAGGTTGCAAGACTTCACGGAATAACCCACGAGCAGAGCAATGATACTCACAAACATTTTGATGTTCGATTTTTTACAGCCGCTTTGAACTGTGGCAGTATTTCAGTTATTTTGCGCATGTCAGGCCGGGGGCTTACAAGTGTGCCGACGCGTGAAGATCCGGGAAGAATAGGTCTTCAGCAACCCATGCTTGCCGTTAAAGGCGACTATGCTGGTCGTAAGAGGCGACTAACGGGATCTGGCTCGCTGACTTGGTTGATGCATGCCATCGTATCCCAATTGCGTGGATCGATGCTAATGATGTCAATCACTGGATTGTCTGGTCCAGGCTCGATTATTTACAGACCGTCATCATACAGCTGGAATAGTGCTGAGTGCGGCGTTAAACAACAAATCAAACCAAAACCAAATGCAAGTGTGCCACTTTTGAGGAGAAAGAAAAACAAGCGAAAAAACCCTTTCCGTATTCATAAAACAATTCTGCTGACGATTCCGACTTTATCAGGAGCATGCGCAAAAAAGTACCTGTCACAAACACGCAAGCAAAATGTTCACCTGAAACAAAACGCGAGAACATCTGGTACAAGTCAAAAGAGGGAATTGCATTTGGCATCAATTTTGTCGGCGATGCGTCAAATTTGGAAATGTCTTTCACAAAACGTTTTGAAAGCTGTACTGTGGCCTTGAATGTTGTAACTCTGATCAAACAACTTGGGCCTATATTTTAGATCTACGATAGTTCTGTTAGTATTTACCTATATAACTTGTGCGTAATACCTCTTTGAAAGTACGATAAAGCTTATTCTCCCAACAGCCACGCAATAAAACATGCAAGTGGTAATCTCAATTATCGTAGCTACATCGCTGCTTATTTCACTCCTATGTCACGTGTACTACAAACTAGATTTACGAAATATAAAGCTCAATCTCATTAAAATCATATCTTAGTTCTTGCTACCGCTAAACAAAGATCTGAGAACATCCCATTAGGGGTCACGTCGAAACCACCTTTCATCCGACCAATCAGAGCGTCGCTTACCAGATTATGAAAGTAACAGTCGGAATGTGATTTCTGATCATGCAACCTCGAAGACTTTAACACCGGTTATTCCAAACGATAGTTACGGGCTTAACGAAAGAATCCATACACCCTAGACCATCTATTAGCCATTCCAGAATGTTGTTTTGTTCAGGTTTCAAAGTTTTAATCGGGAATTTGTAAAAATATGTTTCAAAGCGTAGTCGCCGATTTGACATTAGTGCTGTAAAGCACAAGAAAGCTGCCTTCTGATTGGCTGATGTCGACTCTTGTCAGTCATTCCATTGGTCGGTCAAAGTTCGCGCAAGGTCGTTCTGACGTGACCTGTAGTGGGATATCATCGGATCTTTGTTTAGCTGTAGCGAGAACTAAGATCAGATTTGAATGAGATTGTATATAGCTCTTCTTCGCCTTTGTCAGATTAACACAGAAAAACGTAATAAATAAGCTTCAGCACCATCAATGACCTTGATTACAAGCGGAGATAACTTTATTTCAGGTTGTCACTGGGTGTGGGAGATACTTCGCATGCTACAGGAAGGAACACTTGACGTGCCCCTACAAGAGAAGGAAGACCTAATGATGGAATGGAAGACACCAGAGTTCATGGACAAATTCCCGTCCCCACGGGTTCTAAATAACCACGTTCTACTGAAACATCTAAACCCAGAGCTCTTTGAGAAGAAGATCAAGATCGTCATGGTCATCCGCAACCCCAAGGACGTTGCTGTATCTTTTTATCATCACCACAAGAAGCTCGTGGAGTATGATTACAAGGGGAAGTTCGAAAATTACGTACCACACTATCTAGAGGGAAAGGGTAAGTTTCAGGTTCTTCGGAATATATTGATTTTATATTAAAGTGAGTGAGATACGGTTGTTACAACCTTGTTGAAAATATTTAGAGTGTTTGGCCAGACAGACCGGTAGCCTGAACAACGAACCCCGATTCCGGGTGACACATAATCAATCAGATCACACATTGTGACCACCCGATTATCGTATGAAGGACCGACCGGGATATTATCGAAACAAGAAAATTGTCCCCGTAAATTCTTGAAAAAATATTTATGCTCCAGGGTGTTGAAAAAAAGAAGAATTCACCAAAATTACATTGTTGCAAGGTGCTTTTAAGAAACAAACATCAGAGTTAATCAATAATATATCTGGTTTAATAGCTGTAATTGAAAAGAAATATCTTGTCTCCATACATTAGAAGTTTCAAATCACAATGACCACCTCGGTTTGAAACAGCGGCACGTTCGCTTACAAGTTCAATTTAGCGATTAAATCGACAGGTAACCAGCTCTACACCGAAAAAATGTGTATTTCCTAAATATACTCGCAAAAGTTCAACTGACACGATATAAAACAAGAACTTGATCAAAGTAGACGCACACATCTGAAAAAAATAATATTTTCAAACAGGTTTGGTTTGGTTTGTTGTTTTACGCCGCACTCAGCAATATTCCAGCTATATGACGGCGGTCTGTAAAAAAATCGAGTCTGGACCAGACAATCCAGTGATTTACATCATGAACATCAATCCACGCAATTGGAATCGATGACATGCATGAACCAAGTCAGCGAGCCTGACCACCCGATCCCGTTAGTCGCCTTTTACGACAAGCATAGTCGCCTTTTAAGGCAAGCATGGGTTGCTGAAGACCTATTCTACCCCGGATCTTCACGGGTCATTTTCAAACAGACAATGGACCAGTATGTTGTTTGTTGTTTAACTCAGCATTATTCCAGCTTTATGACGGCGATCTGTAAAAATCGAGTCTGCAACAGAAAATCCAGTGATTGACATCAGGAACATCGATCCACGCAATTGGGATCGACGACATGCATCAACCAAGTCAAGGAGCCTGACCACCCGATCCCGTTGGTCGCCTCTTAAGACAAGCATAGTCCAGTAAACAATTTTACACATTTAATGAAACATGTCGAGCTCAGAAATGACGTTTTGACAAGACAAAGATGCAAGAAGATGCAGCTTCACGCTGCGACGGTCCTGACTGGAGCATACCGATGGCTCTCAAGCGGTCATTTTCAGATAGGGATGGCATCTTCAAACTTCAAATATTGATTAAGATTTGATGTTTTTCCAAGTTATAGTTGACAAGACAAGCAGAACCAATGCATACCGAATCCCTACAACACCCATCAGATCATGCTTTTCTGCTGAGATTGTGTTTGTGCTACATGTTTTCATATTTTCGTATCCGATTTGGACACCAGAAAGTGTTTTCTTGTATGCAACCGATTGGAAAGGAGTGTCACAGGAACTTTTGTCGCTGAGTATATATTACAGTGAAACCTCTGTTCGTCCGATCCTACCTTCAAGGCGATCTTGTTTGATACGCGGATTTATGTCTAAAGGAATATTACCTCGTATCCATTATTCGTTACCATGAATGATTTCACTGGGTAAAGTGTCGTCCCGATTAACGAGGTCTCACTGTACGTGATTAATGAAGAAACGCCCATATGCTGTTCTATGTTGTAGTTGATGGGTGTTGTGTTTTCGACTATACACGGGAATGGGAGAGGGAGGTCGCTGATCACCCCGAACATCCAATACTTGTCCTCTCATACGAGGACATGAAAGAGGTTAGTGCATGCATCGGCTTAGCCTTAACGGTCATTGCTTGATTGTTTGTGGTTTTACGCCGCACTCAGCAATATTCCAGCTATATGACGGCGGTCTGTAAATAATCGAGTCTGGACCAGACAATCCAGTGATTGACATCACGTGCATCGATCCACGCAATTGGGATACGATGACATGCATCAACCAAGTCAGCGAGCCTGACCACCCGATCCCGTTAGCCTTCAAGGTCAATCTAGATCTGAAGGTTGTATTTACTTGTCTCTCAGTCTCTCAGTAACTGTTTTGACCCGTGAAGATTCCGGGGTAAATAGGTCTTCAGCAACCCATACTTGCCGTAAAAGGCGACTATGCTTGTCGTAAAAGGCGACTAACGGGATCGGGTGGTCACGCTCGCTGACTTGGTTGATGCATGTCATCGATCCCAATTGCGAAGATCGATGCGCATGATGTCAATCACTGGATTGTCTGGTCCAGACTCGATTATTCGATCGGATTATTTACAGACCGCCGTCAAATAGGTGGAATAGTGCGGCGTTAAACAACGAACCAACCAACCTTTTTTATCTAAGTTACTGACTTGCTATTTGTAAATCCGACTACAAGACAGGGTCGCATAAACATGTAAGCTTCAGAAAAGCCGAAATTTCAAGGTGAAGAGACGTTGATCTATTGCGTAACTGGTGTGTATGAAACTGAATGTCGATACGTAGCCAATCCAAATGTCTAAAGGACGCGCTGCTCTTCTCACATCGTCCTTTATGTTATAGGATCTCGAGAGAGAGGTGAAGAAGATCGGAAAGTTTCTTGGGAAGTCTTATGAAGAAGCCTTCTACCAGAAGATAGCTGACAAGTGCACGTTTAAGAAAATGAGGGACAGAAAGGGTGCAGTCTATTCAGAATTGGGTGACAACATATTCTACAGAAAAGGTACGTTTCTTGCCCACAGTGTCTTTAAAAAATGTCATCACCTACGAAGAAGATTCTGCCTCAGCCACAATAAACAGTTACTTGTTTGTTTGTTGATTAAAGCAATATTCAAGCTATATGACGGCGGTCTGTAAAATAATCGAGTCTGGACTAGACAATCCAGTGAAAGACATCATGGGCATCGATCCACGCAATTGGGATCGATGACATACATCAACCATGTCTGACCACCCGATCCCGTTGGTCGCATCTTACGGGTGGTCAGACTCGCCGACTTGGTTGATGCATGTCATCGATCCCAATTGCGTTGATCGATGCTCATGATATTAATCACTGGATTGTCTGGTCCAGACTCGGATTATTTACAGACCGCCGTCATATAGCTGGAATATTGCTGAGTGCGGCGTTAAACAACAAACCAACCAACCAACGATGACATGCATCAACCAAGTCAGGGAGCCTAAAACCTGATCCCATTAGTTGCCTCTTACGACAAGCATAGTCGCCTTTTTTTGACCCGTGAAGATTCCGTGGTAGAACAGGTCTTCAGCAACCCATGCATGCCTTATAAGGTGACTATTCTTTTTCGTATAAGGCGACTAACGGGATCGGGTGGTCAGGCTCGCTGACTTGGTTGATGCATGTCATCGATCCCAATTGCATGGGTCGATGCTCATGATATCAATCACTGGATTGTCTGGTCCAGACTCGATTATTTACAGACCGCCGTCATATAGCTGGAATATTGCTGGGTGCGGCGTTAAACAAAAAACAAACCAAACAAACAACATAGTCGCCTTTTACGTCACGCATGGGTTGACAGTACTGGTCCGCGCTTGACATAACATAGTTTGGCGGGCCGGTCGGCTAACGTGCTTATGGTCCGTCCTAATGGTGCTCATGGCAAGGGTTTACTACGTTTTGGACTTTGGTTCTTCTTCCTAAATGAAGCTAAAGCGCTGTTTTTGCAAGTGTTCAAATCCAAACTCGCTCACTTACACTCGTTTGCTTTCCCTGTGCCTTGCAGGTGAGGTCGGTGACTGGAAGAACTGGTTCACAGTAGCCCACAGTGAAATGTGTGACCGGATATGTGATGAGAAAATGGCAGGCTCCAAAATAAGCTTCCGGTATACATTAAACAACACGGAAACGAACAACAACAATGCTGGGTCTTGAACAAATTAATCGTCATCTCAGTGCCTGATAAATAAAGAGAGAAGAGCTTTAGCAATTGTGACAATTACAATATCCTTTGCAAATGAGAATTGTTGTGGTAGTTTTACTTGACAGAAATAGTTTGTAAATTTTACTTGAATGTCACTGTCCACTCAGACAATAAGATGTTAGTAGACTTTTCCAATCTGTTAGCATTAATAATTTTCACTAGGTGGCAAGGGATCATTAGTAATCAAATATACTTTCATTGTCCCCTTCCTGAATGAGAGAAATACTATTTGGCATACAGCAACAACACACTGATGAACACAAAGAATTTTAAAGCTCGGTGGGATTCGCACCTCCAACCACCTTATTTGTAGGTCCCGAAGCTACCACCTGTCCTACGGAGACTGTTTGCTCACAAGTGTTAATGTTCCTAGTCACCAATAGCTTGGTTCATTTGTAAATATTAATGGTAATGGTGTACAAAGTTCGCTGCACGTTTAGGTGGTATATGTGCTATGCAAGTGCCCATGAATATGATTTGCACGTCTAATTTCAATATATATTATACATCTCACCAATATTTGATTTATAGCCTGATGATATGCACTTTATTAAACATGTTTATACAATCTTTACACAATCTTGTGTTGAGTCCCTCAAGGATCTGTTCTTGGTCCCATCCTATTCATGCTCTCACACGATCTCTCAGCAGCATTGTCAGTAAGCACGAAATTGATCAACATCGGTATGCAGAAGACAATCAACTGTAACCTGTTTTACACAAGATTCGGCCGACATATATATGACAAGAATTGAGAGCAGTGGATGACATCTCAGAAAGAATTCATCTCGATCGGATCCAAGCACCAACTTCAGCATTGTACAGAGTTTCATCATCTTGATATCGACAATACATCATCTGCCAGTCAGAGAGTAAACAACTTGGGTGTGGTTCTCGACCAACAACTTGCCATGTTACATGGGTGTGTCAGACAGCAAATTATCACCTCAGAAATATCGGATAGCCAAGACATTATCTCACACGACCGTCAACTCTAAAGCTAGTTCTCTCTCTAGTTATTTCCAGAATAGACTTGCAACTGCCCCCTTGTGAATGTCTCCAAAGAGCAGATATGGAGACTCCAGAAACTCAAGAATCGTTAACAGAAAAGCTAAATTCAACCACATCACTCACACACTGAGAGAACTCCAATGGCACCCTGCGGCATATCGCACTGAGTACATGATCGTTCTTGGTGCCTACAAATGTTTCAACAACATTGCCCCAAAATATCTCCCTGAACGTACCACACTACTCTCCACACAAAACTCTCCGATCGCAACAACGAAAACTATTTTCTATTCTATGGAGCTCTCTTCCAGATAATGTGAAATTGTCTCCTTCAATTCCTGCTCATAAAACCCATCTTTTTAACAAAAGCTATTAATGCTAAGCGTACCGAACACAAAGTTTTGTGCTCTTATAATGCACTATATAAATACAAGCATTATTTTATTATTATTACTTAAAGGTGTTTGGATCATGGGAATTTTTTGCTTACAGGTGTTGTTTAGGCTATGACGCGATAGCCCATTTCTGTTTAGACCCTAAACGTGTTTAGATAGAACACACCAACTGTGCATACCGTTTAGGATTGAAACTATTCCTGAACATGTGTTGTATGTGTTCACATTCTCAACACATTTTTACAGTGTGGTTTAAGTAGTGAATGATACTAATTTAATACGTGATATTTACTAATCTTCAGCATCTTCGTGCAATCTACCAGTCATGAGAGTAAATTCGCTGTTTACTAATCTTCTGGCCGCTGTGATAAATAAAGTTAGAAGAATTCTCGAGACGTTTTTACTCAGAGGTGCACCTGTTCAAAGTTGTATTAAAATAACTAATCACCGTCATTTTTAAGCGAAACTTTTCATCAGACAAGCATATACTGGCTGAAAAAAAGTTAAATATTAATAATAATAATAATAATAATAATAATAATAATAATAATAGTTCTTTAAAGGGAACCAAGAGCTGAGGAGAATAATGTGATGATTATAGGTGATGGTGTCTAAAAATCAAGCAAACAAGAAATGATTATTCGATTTGAAGTATCTGATTTAAGAAATAAACGTCGAGTAAGACAATGAAACGTACAATAAAACCGTGAAGGGAGAATCAACCATGAGGAACGCAGGCCTGAGTTTTTTTCTTGTTGTGTTTTATTGTACGATAAACAACGACCAAGACTCGTTTATTTCTTACATGAGATACTAACACTATCTACAACCTCTTTAAACATATTAACCCGTTTTTAAATATTGATGACTCCCAGAATAGAATCCGACCTCGGCAATATCGGACAAGTTCATTTTAAGAACGGGGGTTAAATTTGATATTCTCACAATTAGCACGTCGATTATCTGTACGTTTTCTCCCAATATTTTCACGGGTTGTATTAGCTCGCATGTATATTATTTGCAGACTGCTGTCATATAGCTGGAATATTGCTGAGTGCGGCGTCAAACAAACAAACAAACCAAGCATGCTGATACAGATTATGTAGTAAAGGTGATTTGCTGTAACCCTTTGAACTACGTGTTTTTTTATTATACTTGTTGTTTCGACACATTTTGGAAAATATTCTTGTTTTCATACTACGTTGTACACGTTGGATGCTATTGTTATTTCGTTACTGCTTAATATAATACATGTTGGAAGTATTGTTATTTTAATACGACTTTGTAGATGTTGGAAACTATTGTTACATGAATGCTACATTGTATAGTGTTGGAAACTATTGGTATATAGTTACTACATTGTACATGTTGGAAACTATTGTTACATGGATGCTACGTTGTACATGTTGAAAACTATTGGTATACCTATGCTGCATTGTACAAGTTTGAAACTATTGGTATATCGATACTACATTGTACATGTTGGAAACTATTGGTATATCGATACTTCATTGTACATGTTGGACACTATTGGTATATCGATACTACATTGTACATGTTGGACACTATTGGTATACTATGCTACATTGTACATGTTGGAAACTATTCGTATATTGATGCTACATGTTATGATGTTGGAATGTTGGATTATATTGTTACGGAAATTGTACCCATTAGCGTTCAATAAATCGAAACATTTATGACTACCCATTATATGTATGGACTCCATATCACTGGACACATTTTTGTTGTTTGTTTGCTGTTTAACACCGCACTCCAGCAATATGACGAGGACCCGTGAAGATCCGGATTATAATTGATCTTCAGCAACCCATGCTTGTCGTAAGTGGGAACCGATGGGATCGTGTGGTCAGATTGGCCGAAAGACCGCCGTCATAAAGCTGGAATATTGTCGAGTGCGTAAAACAACGAACGAACAAACAAAACGGCCTGTAAATAATCGAGTTTGGACAGATAATTCAGTGGCTGACGTCATGAGCATCGGGGTCACGGGTGGCCCAGTCGTCTTAGGCGCCGCGATTCGCTGTGCACAGTTGCGTCCCGAATCTCGGTTCGTGGTTTGTCACTGGTTTGTCTGGACGAGACTCGATTATTCATCGTCATATAGCTGGAATATTGCTGAGTGCGGCGTTAAACAACAAACAAACACGCACTCATGTGCATCGAACCACACAGTTGGGAGACGATGAGATGCAATCAACCGAATCAACGAGCCTGACCAAACGATACATTTACCTGCCTCTTGCTACAATCGTAAAGTGTTGCACGGATTCTATATCCTTACTCGGAATCGCCGCAGGAATCGCTAACCCGGATTCGTCACGAGACTACCATAATAATGAAAAGTATCATGACGTATGTAAGACAACTAGCTTTTTCTCATTCCCTCACTAATCAAGTGTGCACAATGAGATTTAAATCGATGGAAAAGGCTGAATTCTTTGATAAAAAGAATACATTTAATCAAGTGTATTGTCATTTACGATAAACGTTACACAGTAATTACAACGTGCACAATACACCACACCAAACAATGTTGTTGTTTTTAAAAATGAGGAATTCCCTAACCAAAGTGTTCCAAATATACCGACCCTTTGCTAACTGTTGGACAACTCAGCACATATTCCACAGAACCAATTACATGTATCTTTCATGAACATACTTCATATATGAGGAGTTTGTAGATGAAAATTCCTTGAAATCGTTTCATATTTCTGAATCAATAACACCTATATCAAAGTGTCGACTCTCTCTCATGATTATTAAATATTTACAACCTCTCAGCTCAGACTGCGATCATTCATGCTCCGATTATAATGAAAACGGAACTAAATTTAGAACTTCACGTAGCAACAAGGTTATTATTCCGATGCAAGACGTTAATGCGTGAGGAGTGAGGTTTTGCACAGGTTTTTGCAAAGAATATTATAAATTTATATGTTGGGGACACTCAACAAATGCCTTCATACATTTTACCTTTTCCTGCAGACTAACCCGTGTCTTTGGCTTGAGCTAACGTTTAACCACCGCATTCTTAAGGTGACTGCGTATAATGACGCAACATCTTTCTCACACACCTATAAATGAGAAACCCATTTGAGATAACTGGTATCTAACATATGTGTTGAACTTTAAGGTTTTAAAGTGTTGGGATGCCACAGGGACATATTTGTCTTTACATCACGGACACTAATACGCTTCACAGTTAAGAAGAAATTAGGAAATTCCCCGTTCTGTGATATGATCCACTGTCATTTGGGGCAAAACAAATAAAAATTAGGTGCCTGATGTCCATTTTGTATTCTTCAGACGTTTAACGAGAAAGATCACCACAGAAACTACCTTAGAAAAACAACGAGTTGAAGTTGTGTCTGTTTGTCATGAATTGATGCAAGCTCCAGCTCTAAACCGTTATCCATCACCTTTGATGCACTCCACTGGCCTTTTCACCCACCAGGCAAGAGTGCTGCTGACTGTTTTATCTAGTCTTAGAATCGAAACACAGGTCCAAGGTGGTAGATTTTGTCAGTGGGTGTCTGATAACTTGGACTACAACGAGGACACTGCTACTGGACATAATTCAACTTATGTCACGGGTGTAACTGCTTGCCAAACCCCAACTTCTAGGCAAACAAATACTGTTCAGCATAAGAAGAAAACATCTGCTGATATTGCAATTTCTGGTGACTATGATCGTAAAATACAACCTTATAGGCAATCCAACAAAAACCTCATGTCCAAGATAGTGTTCCAGAAACTTGAACCAGTTGAGGTTGGTTCTTTAGAAGAGAATCTGAAGCTAGAGAATTTATGGATGCTGTCAAATGGCCGTTTCGAAGTAGGCTGTGGACTGGATAAAACTTGGGGTATTGTATGTGCCCGAAATTTCACCCCAAAAATGGTGGCAGGAAAGGCTTATACAAAGACACTTAGTGCATGTCTCCTCACTAGTGCTGCTTTGCATGTACTTCTTTTGATGCCTGAAGATGATATTGCTGAAGAAGATAATTCATCTGAAATGGAAGACAACAATGATAGTTCAGTCAGTCAGAATAAAGCACTGCAGAATTTCACTTTGTGTCTGTCTTCTGTATGTTCATCAGAGTTGTGCGCACTGGGAACTGGCAGCTTTATCTAAAAGCATCACAAGGTATGCTACATTGGTTTGCTGCTACGGGACATGACACTTATACAAAGTATTGCCGGCTGTATTTACAGGATTTGCCTTGAACGTCCCCTTCATAATGGTCTCTTCAGTCATTCGCAACAGCAACCTATTCTGGCGTGGCACGTGGAGTGACTATACAACTAGAACTATGGAATATTCACTGCTGGAATGACCAAAGGTGGATTTATCAACATCACTCAAAGGGAGGGTGCAAGAACAAAGTGGCTGCTGACAGCACATGTCACTGCTTAGAAACTGGCTTTTTGTGAGCCTTGACGAAAACAACCAACAGCCCATGGTCAGATCAGCATCGTGAAATGAATATAGTCAAGACTTCAAGGATTTGCATTTTATCCGAGGACTCAGAACTCATAACCCAATTCACAGCTGAGAAACACTGCCACAGACCTAATTAGCTGATAATCAAGACAACGTGGGCAATCTGATCAGAATTGGTAACTCCATTCAAGACAGCCTTACCGAGAAGGACTTTGGAGATGTCATAGTAAAGAAAGGCAACTAAGCTGTTACATTTGCTGTTAGGAAAAAAGGCAGTGAATTTTACAGATGGTGAAAAATTCATATGTCTTCTGCTGAGATGTACCAACGTCTGTTGTCGATCAATCATAAAATAGATACAATAATTCTAGCATGAACGGAGAAAACCAAAAGTTTGACAGTTGATGCAAGTATGTTTAAGGGGAGACAACTAAAGTCTGACAAATGACCTTGACCTTACTACCTTAACAATTATTCATTTTCTATCATTATAATCTGTATTTTGTTTGCCATTTCTGGTAAATAATCACCATTATGTGTTAAAAGGCATGATTAAAGCCATCACGAAGAAATCATTTTCGCCTTTTCTACCATCTTTGTCCGGATAAATAATATGGTGAAAAATATATTCGCCAGGGGTTGATTTGGGGTTTGGTTTGGTGTGAGAGAATATGTATTATAACTGATTTTAACATAAAAGTTGTCATGTCATAAATACATGTCTAAGTGTTTCAATATTTCTACTGGCCTGTGTTTTCAGGACAGTATAGGTGACTTGATATATTGTGTGTCACCGTACAGTGATGCTATCAGTTGTCGGGAAAAGACTCGATGATTTACAGACCGTCGTTATATGTCCTGCTCTACTGCTACACGCAATGAGACCCTTGGAGATCCAACAAGCCCGCAATTACTAACTCACCACCATGACATTCTACTACTCTTGTCCTCTATCTTCTGTAACAATGACAACCCCATCTATCTCCCGTATCTTTACCTTTGATCAAATGTGTGAAGTAACTTGGGATAATTCATGGATCTTATGGATTAGATTTATGTAAAAAAAATAATGATTTGTTATACTTCATACAGTCAAACCCAATTTAGGTATCGTAACGGTAATTCGTGACAATACGAATTCTGTTGTATGGACGTTTATCTACATGTAGACTAACATCGTCTATGAATTTTTTTATTACACAATAAATTCCTTTTGGAAATTTAGAAACAAACTATATTAATTTTCCTGATGCTGTGGAATAGAGCTGGCTGGACTTGCTTTTTATATAAATATAGATGGGTTTTTTATCATAAAATACACGAATTCCACAGTCATGGTGCAGGACTAACGTTTCGCTTAAATTGCTATCCACATGAATGCAGATACCTGTATGTTGAAAAAGCAATAGTGCATTAAATATTATTTTTAGACTCTGGCAAACGGGTACTGCTTTAAGAAAATTAAATAAAATTGCCGGGAATATGATAACATTTACCCAGCTAACTTTGAAAAAAATAAAACGCACATGTTTCAAACGTTTATTTAATCGACAGTGTCACATACAATAAGTTATCTTTATAAATTGAAGACGGAAATGGTGCGGAACCGAAGCTATTAGTTTTAGAATCAGCATTTCAGTTATGTTCAGACATGTTGTGGGTTGTCTTTATGTAGCACTGAAAGGCTTGATGTCAACATCTTTTCCCTTTAATTTCGATACAGGTTCTAGTACCTTTTCCATGCCAGTCACTCGTAAAGATTTGGGTTAGAACTGGTCTTCATCAACCCATGCTTGCCGCAAAAGGCGACTATGCTTGTCGTAAGGGGCAACTAATGGGATCGGGTGGTCAGGCTCGCTGACTTGGTTGATGCATATCATCGTGTCCCAAATGCGTGGACCGATGCTCATGATATCAATAACTGGATTGTCTGGTTCAGACTCGATCATTTGCAGACCGCCGTCATATAACTGGAATATTGCTGAGTGAGGCGTTAAACAAAAAATAAACAAACAAAACCAAGCAAGTGTTAGCAACGTGACAGGATAATATTATACAGCTAAGATAACACATACACAGTAACAAAAACAACAATCAGCGTGAGAAATGGCATATGTTACCAGGGTCCCGATAAGATTCCGGGTCGGAATAGGTCCCCAACAATCTATTATTGTCTTAAGAAGCGACCTAATGGATCGAGTTTTCAGGCTGATTGACTTGGCTGTTAATCGTACCCGGACGACGTGGCGAGGCATATGAATCACT